TCGATAGATATTGACAAAAATATGTTATACAAGGTCAATCGAAGACATTCATTAGGTAGGCGTGGCCAGATGAAAACTAGCGCCATGCTGCAGTGGTACATCCAAATTATGTATTTTAAAGTCTAACTTTCTAGCTCTTAAATCCTTCCCGAGATTTTCTCAATTTTGGTTTTCCGGGTTTTGTGAGCATTAGAGTAGACGTGGCAAAATGGAAAACAAAATTTGCATAGCCCCCTAACCTAAAAAACTACATGCCTTATGCCACATTTCTATCACTTATAGTTCCCGAGATATCAGCTTTTCTGCAAAAAGCGAAAATTGCCTTTCGAGCTTGGTGGGCGTAAGAGTGGGTGTGCCGTGATAATGGTACCACAATAAGATGCGCTGGGATATCAAGATTATAAATACTTAATCCCAACTTTCTACCCCAGAAGATCCTGATATTTTAGCTATTTTTTTTGTGATTTGTGGGCGTGGTGTGGCAGGATGCTAAAAAAAACTTGCGCTGCGTAAGGAACTTAAGAATGTTTATGCTTAATCCCAATTTTGTATTTCTTATAGTTCCTAAGATCTCAGTGTTCATACGGACAGACGGACGAACGGACGGACGGACAGATGGACATGGCTTAATCGACATCGCTATTAATCCTGATCAAAATTTGTACGATCGGTAACGCTTACTTCTACCTTTTACATACTTTTCAACGAAACGGGTATAAAAAGTGTTAGTCAGACCTACTGAAAAATAATTTTAAGTATCTGACAAAAGTACCAACTTTAATGATATTAAATGAGGGTAAAATGGGTGTGCTTTTAAACAAAAATTACTAAAACATTTGTTAAAATTTTATAATTAAAGATTTAAGTCAGTTCTTAGATTTCTTTGGAACATTTTCGTGGTATTTTGTTTGAAATACTTAAAACTCAGATCTAGGGAACACGCACCAGACCTATGATAAAATTATCGCACATCAGAGTCGCATTAAAAGGACATCAGCGTAAAAAGGACCCATAAGAGATTCAATTCGACAGGAGATGTTAACAAAGCCGACCACATGAGCCAATTTGCGGCAGTCCCCATCGCCACAGGTAAACCTAGCCCCACCCACAGCCACTCGGCACCACCTATCCGACCTGCCAACCACTTCTCGTGGACCCGTAAAATTGCGGCAACTTCAACTCATTAAAAGTGGAGAGCTGGCAAAAAGTTCAGCCAGCCCGCAGCACGTTCTATAGTATGTGTATTTTTTTTTGGACAATTCCCCGAAATGTGAAATGCAATTAGATGTCACCTGAATATCTACCAGCGTCCTTTTGTGGCGCATAAATTAGCAGCGGGGCCGCAGCTAAACAACAGCAATCATGCGGAAAGTTGTCCACTAAAATTAAGCATTAAATTTGATGGCAGCAACTTTTTAATTGTCTGTGATATTTCAAACAACAGGCGAAGCACCTGAATTCCAGGTGCCGCAAATTGGTAGCACAAAATACTTGTGGCTGTGTTTTACATTTAGCACAAATGGGGCATAGATGTGGAGCCCTCCACTTGTCAATGGTAAACTTTTGGGCCATTGTGTGGACCCTTTTGATAACAAAAATGTTTTGCTAAAAAGCTAGAAAAGATATATTTGGACAGAGAGGTGATGTGGAAGGTTAAAGGTTACAAAAAAACAGCCCCTTATGAATTTAATCTGTGCTTAATTTAAGCTTTATGTCTATTATTCATTCATAATGAAGGTATTACTACTGTTAATTCATTACTTTATACGTTGAATAACTATTTAGGCTTTATTTTTTCTTGAAAATAACGTCCTATCATACGAACTTAAAGTCTGAAAAATTATTTTAAATTAAAAACATAATCGACATTTTACGACTATTTTTGATTACATCTTGCATGGGAATGGCTAACTAGCTGACATTGATAGACGGATTGTGAGAGGAGAAGGACTTGCAGGTCTGTAAACGGATAAGAAGAGTCCTATTAGCTGGTTTGCAGTTGTCAAGCTACATGGGTGCAGTCTGCAATCCTGTCAAGCCGACATTCTGGTTCAGATCCCTGAACTTGACAGACTGAACTTAAAGTGGCACGAACTACATTGGGGCGGACACCTAGTGAACGGGTTACACCTCAAAGGCCACCTCAAGGCCTCGTCGGCTAATTAAGTACTTGTCCAAAGGCTCTGGTCCTTGAACCGATGACACCCTGGATGGCTAAACCTGATGTGACTTGATTTCATTTCGTGCCCAGCCGACACGTGAGTTGTCTGGGCTCTAGACTTACATACTATATGTCGGAAAAGTTATACACGCTTGACTGGGTATCCATTAGTGATTAAAATATTTATTTTACTAAAAAAGGAAATTTGCTTTTATTACAATTTCCAATATGCAATTTAAATAAAATTTGATGTAAGTCTTATCGTATTGAGGATATATAATATAAAATTATTAATATATTTAAAAACCTTTCTGTCGATGCTCATACTAATTATTTCACTAAACAAGGTAGTTTAAGTGATCCATCTTCCCTTAGCAACTATGTATTTAGTTTTAATGCTCATTAAGGCCTTCTTGGCAAGGACTTGTGAGCCTTTTGTCTTGGGCTCGTCTAGACCAATTAATAATATTTCGTGTCAAGTGCTAAATTAGACAAAAGCGGCCAGCGAAAAGCTGCAAAATATCAGCAACAATAAACCAAATAAATTCGCTGGCATTTGTTCCATGTTAAAACAGGGAAAAAACGTGGAAAACTGAGCCAAGCGCCGGGAAAACCCTCTTTCCGAAACTGAGATTAATACGCAGATTACAGCCAAGTTATAATTACTGGCGTCCCGAAGCCGAGTAAATTGAGCTGTCAGGAGTGCAAGTGAAAGGAGACTGTGAGATGGGTTCGTTTCGGTTGCTTCGGTTCAAGTCTAAAGTCGAGGTCTGGGTCAGGTTAAAGTGTACCGTCTCCTGGCCAAATTGATTTAGCCAAATGTTTGCTCGACATTCAAATATTTTGGCAATTAGGAAACTGCTTTTGGGACCATGAACATGAAATGCTCACGGAGCACGTCTCAAAGTATAAAATGAGCACAGTGGCTTGCAAAATAAATAAGTTTTTTCAAAAAGAGGAGAACAATGAGGTTAAAATGAATATAATGAAGTTCTTCATTAAAAATAAACAAATATTCTCTTGGTCTAATGTTTCATAAACAAGATTTTGTCCAAAATGGAACATTGAAATATTAGCTGCTAGCTGTAAATATCTATCACTGTAATATAAATTCTACTATCATAGTATTTTTATCATAGTATGAAATACATAAAATATTTTAGGATAATATTCTAAGATCTTTTCAAAACACAACAACAAAATAAAAGGTATCCCCATATTTGCTTTACTGTTTAAGTTTGTAAGCCTTTTAATGGGAAGTACTTATCAAAAACGAAAAAACATTCCATAAATCTATGAATTATATTAATAAAATTATATTGAATGCTCCACCTTTTAGTTTAGTTTTCGTTTCACATATTCCACAGTGGCTAGACCATGAAAATTGCGTGTAATTGCTAACCGAAAAGCGAAACTGTGTCTCAATGCCAAAACAAATGGCGTTTTATTTTTCGTTACGCTACGAACTCAATTAGCTGCCGTGCGTAGCGTAATTAAGTTGTTGCCACGCCCATTTCGATAACCTAAACTGCCTTTGCCGCCCTCTGCCGCCCACCGCCCATCATCCACTAAGCGATCCAGTTTTATGCCACCTGACGTCGCCTTGCGATGTGTATGCAAAAACATTACAAGGAACGCTTCGGGTCTGGCTTAAATTAATTTATCACGTGCCGAAATAAAGCAACTTCCGCCGTCTTCCCCTCCTTTTTTTTTTTGTTAATTAATTGAATTCCAAGCGGAGGAGTCCCTACAAGTTCGACGCGAGCTTAAGCCAGTTAAAGTAAAAACTTAAAGTTAAAGTTTCCTTTTACCAGACAGCAGCATAAAGCTATCGGCTTACACATAATGGCCCACTTTCGGGCGCCCATATACTCAACCTCAGTCCGACTTTCCGGGTAATTATGTCCCCATGTAAGCTCCGGGCAGCAGTAATCACTCAGCTCAGTTCCACCGATTTTCTGCATTTTCCCCTTGATATTCGCCTTTCGTTCTATCCGATAGAAGGATGTAAAATATTCAGTGGAAAAGTCTCAAGAGAATCGGTTTGAGTGGTTGTGGGAAGGACTCGAGACTGCAGAAAAGAGTTGGGAACGTGGAATTATTCATACAATTTCGATCACCAGAGAAAAAGATTCTTAAATATTATGTATGAAGGAGGCGATATAATGACAATTAGGAAATTCATTTTTAACTTTCTGCGCAACGGATTTGCAGTATCATAAAAAAATAAAACTGTAATGTAAATACTCCTGAAAACTATTTTACAATTTATCCTGGTTTACTAATATCCTCTGAAAAATTGGAAAGTTACCCATACATTTTCGCGATTTTTCTCTAAACTAAGGAGTCAAAGAACTTCAAGGACAGTTTGTGAAAAGTGCGTACGAATTTCTCCTCTATGCGCAGTTAATCAAAGAGTAGAGGGAAGGGAAAGTAACTAAGTAAGTGGGAGTATTACAGCTGATGATGTGGCCCTTGCCGGGAACTCGATTCGCTTGGCGTACAAATTCAAACAGAAATGTAATTTAAATGGGCTAGAAAGACTGCAGAGATCTGAGAACGGGAAAAGGGGGAAAATGGGGAACGTGTGTTTGTCGACTGCTCGTTTCGCTTGTTTACACTGCACATTTGCCATCAAGCATACGCCAAGTGAGCCGTGCAAACGGAGAAGGTCAGCGGTGAAAAGTGAAACTAAAGTGAAGGGCTTACGTAAGTGATTAGCTTTTGATATGCCGGAAGAAGAATTTTGAATGGCAACCGTAAAATCGCAATATTACTTGGATAATCGGACTTAAGTTCCCAACAGTACAGCGGTGTATAAATACTTGGCCAAGTCCAACAGTCGATCATCATCAACGAACTACAAGCATCAAGATGAACGTTTTCCAAGGCTGCGTGCTAGTTTTCCTGGGCCTGGTCCTCAGCTCTGTGAATGCACAGATCCCAACCCGTGAGGAGTCCGCTAAGGACAAAGCCTGCGGTGCCGGCCGTTACTACAACAATCTTCGCCACACTTGCCTGCCCTACTAAGGAGTATTCTTGAATGTGGCCTAATTCAAAGATATCAAAATAAATATACGAACAGTGGTTACTAGACTAACGGGTATCTAGGCACAAAAAAATAACTGTTGTATTTTTATTGGTTTTATGGGTATATAGGCAGGATAGGAATACAATTTTGTCAGTGGGGAGTTGAAAGTCGTCATAAGATAACCTCAGAAAATCTCTTGAAAATCTCTTGTCCCTGCAACACTATAAGTTTCGGTCCTATATGTGATCGTTTTCGTTTTAATAATTTCATTCCTTCATTTAATTATAACTTCAATTAAAATAGATTGAAAGGATATTAGGTTAATTTTCTGCAACTCTTTAAGAAACTCTAAAATAAGTGAATCTTTCCTTTTTATCTGTCACATATAACAAGAAAATACTAGGTTGTTAATAGATAGAGAAACGATTACCATTTTCTCCATTATAAATAGCATTTCTAAAAGAAGAGTTCATTCTCCTTTAGTTTTATTGCAAACCTAAAAGAAATAGAGTGAAAGGATATTAAGTTTAATTTACTGCAGCTCATTAAGGAGTTCTGAAATAAATGAATCTTTTTTTTTAGGTTTTTACACATAACAAGAAAATACTAAGGTCTTAACAGATAGGGCAACCTGTTTAGTTCAAAAAAGAGCAAAACGATCACCATTTCCACCATTATAAATAGCATTACCAAAAGCAGAATTCATTCCCCTTCACTTTTATTGCAAAATAAGGCACCAAACTTATATGTCACTCCCCACTCGTTAGTTAGGAAAATGCACTTTATAACTAAATTGGTAAGCTCAATTGGGCATTACTTGAAGGAGCTTCCGCTGCTTCTTTATCCACATTATGTCTTCGAGGAAATTTCGCCAAGGACATGCCAGAGATTTCTTGAATGCACAACTTTATGCCTCCCCCAGCAGCTACCACCACCACTCGTTAATTAATTCACCCCGAACAAGCACGGTTCCCCGTCTCAGGAAGCCGCAGCATAAGCCAACTTGTTATGGCTTATTAATTTTGCATGCAGCCGCGACTGCAGTCAGGCCAACGTCATGTAAACATGTGCAGGATCCCACAGGCTTCTTCCAAACGAACTGGAGGTCCTGAACTGGCAACTGAGAACTCGAAGTCAGGAAAAGACAGCCTGACTGCTCAGGCTGCTCATCACGAAATTTAAAGGCTGCTCGGGGCAGATTTATTGCATTTTAATGCGGGCTCTGCATTGCACTCAATGGGTTAACAGGCTGACAAACACAGATTTTATTCCAAATATTTACTATTATCTGTGGGCAATCTTTGGACAGGCAATAAAACGTTTTTCTGTTTGCCTCTGGCATAAAAATGATATTTACTGACTGAATGCAATTTTTCCGGTTGATTATTTGTATCGCTTTTGTAGCCGTTTTTTTCGGTCCATATTTGCTTTCCATTTAATTTCAATTATAGTTTGCAATTGACATTGTTATTCTAGTTTCTTTTGCTTCGAAATTATTATCTTTCCTATTAATTTATTTCAAATTTAAAGTATTTGGGTTGAAATTTTGACTTATTTTTGTTCCTACTTTGTTTTCATTAAACAAAATTTTGAAGATAAATAATATGTATTATCCCAAACTAAACTAAATCTGCGACCTTGTTGAATCCTTCAGTGAGGTTGATTTTTACCAATGAGCCAGGGCAAAAGGAATCCGAAATTCTTTAATACTTTAGTTTGGTGACATCTCGTTTTAAGAAGCTTTTCCTTTTATATTCCAACACACACATTATTCCCCTTTTAGGAGTACATCATTCAATTCATTTTTGCGTACTTATCAATAAATTTTCTCCTTCCCATTAATCCACCTCAAGAGCTACTCCACGATGGCCCCTTTCGAAAAGCGATCCAATATTTAAGCTTCTGTTTTATGGTCATCGACAAATGTCCAAACATTGACAGCTATTGTGACAGTTGCTGCTTGTCACGGCCAACTGGGGCCGGATAGTAGTAGTGGGTTCTAACCCCTTGAATCCTGTTGAGTCCTGCGGACTGCGTCACAAATGAGTGCGTCATGCGAGGAGCATCCCGGATCCCCCTTGTTGCTGAAATACAAACAAAACATAAATTTTAACGAGCTTGTCAGGCGAAACAGGCAAAAGAGGCGAGGCAGCAGCAACTACTACTTCGACATCGACGCACCATTATATAATTGACTCCCTGATGGCAGGATGTCGGGCGGTTTATCACTTTGTTGTCGGCGATGGCGTTGCTAATAAAGCTGATGTCCTCGATACGAGTTGCCTGATTATGATGATGATACGAGGATGCTTATCTGGTTGAGCTCTGCTCACACTGCGTATGCGTAATGGGGTATACTTGGCTAGATTTCAAATGGAGTTTGATTTTCAGTGAACTGCTAATATTTTTACACTGAATTATAGACTTATGATATAAGTACAGAGTTCGTATATTATTTTAGCAAATACCACTAAAGTTTCTTCTTCAAGTCTGGGTTGCACTCTTCTTACTATTAACATCCCATTCAAATTGCTATGCTTAATCCAATACTTTTAAAGGAACACATTGTGTCCTGAAATCACTAATGAACTCGTTTTGGCTTTTCAGTGGTTTTGATAAATGTGACTTGGTTAGAAACTTAGGAAACTTAACACTTTTCTGCCAGCTGCTCTTCAGCCTAGATTCCATGAATTTAATCGAATTTATTAATACCCTAATGATAAATTCATATTTTTCTTGCAACTATTCACTTCTTGCTAAAATGCAAGTTGAGTATGCTAAGCGTATTGATAAAATGTGCACAAAAATGGAAATCTTTGCCCCGCACACTCGTTTTTCATGTGAAGTGACGTTGATTGGCGAAGTGAGTTCAGTTGAGGTCAAGTCCCTACTCCTGGCACTTCAATACTTACATCACAGACGCCCTTATGGATTTTCTTAGACCAGAAAAGAAATATATTATATATGTATTTTTGAGTTAAGCCACAAAAATATGTTCTTTTTACCACACACACACACACCTGCCCGCCTTTCCCTCGAGCTTCCGAATTTCCCAAGCAAATATTTGGGCTGCGAACCTGCCGAAAAGTTTTCCCTGTGACAAGAGCACATATCAAGGAGCTCCGCCGTGTGCCGGCAGATATCAAACAACGTGACTTGCCAACGCTTCTCGAGTCCTTGTTGATATTTCAAGCGCTTAAATTGATTACGAAATCTTCCAGACCTCTCCCCTCATAATTATACTCTTACGGATCAGCATCTTTGGCTGTTTTTATAACTTTATAGTTATTGAAATATAAAAAATTCAACAAACTATGTTTATAGACTGAACTTTAATTAGAAAAGTTGGTAATATAAAAGATTACCTTTTTAAGACTTATGTCAGTTTTTATTTTTCACTTTAGACATCACAAACGAAATGATAAATAAAGTAAAATGATTTATGAATGATTTAGTTTTGAATTATTTAATAAAATAGGAAAATTTCACACAAAAAATAAATCAGAATAATCAGAGTATTTGAAAGCCTTTGGCGATCTAAATTCACTTTTCCTCTTTGCATATCGGAAATCGGAAATTTAATCCGTTTACTTGGCAATTTGGGCGGATGTTTATTGTGGATTCTTTGGTTTGCGGCTCAATCATTTTAATGGCAGACTCGTGTTAGGCCTTGTTGAAAATTCATTTCATAGATACACCCACTTGAACCCCCGGACATTCATGCCGGGACACGTGGTGAATCCTTTTGCGGATTTAGCTTCGTACAACAATTGCCATAAATCGACATTTTCTGTTTGATTTTTTCAATGTTGTCTTTGCTGGACATTAAAAATTAATTAAAACTGTGCAAAAAACAAATAAATGAAATGCAAATAATTTTTTGGTATTTGCTTCACTGCGGCATTTCAGTTAATTGCTACATTCACGCTTTGTTAAATATTTAATTTGCTTAAGCTGCACTTTAAATGGTATACTTAATTGACGTAATGCCAAGAGCACAAATCTAATATGGAATCTAATTAAAAAGTCGAATGACTCGTTTGATTGGAAACTCACTTAGTTTCAACCTACTAAATTACGATTCATACTACTAAATTTGCTAAAACTAAGCTTATCTTAATGTAATAATCTTGAAACATAATTACTCTAAAATTAGCAAGGCCTTCAATATGTGCACATTTTTTACCCTTTTTTTACTCCCCTTTGATTAACACTGTGAACACATTTTGAAAGCTGCTGAATCAGATCCAATTTACAAAATGAGCGCTATTTATCATCTACATATACATATATCTATCATCAAACTTATGACCGATTCGCAGCACAAAAGAGCAGCAAAGAGATCATAAAATATGCTTATGCACAGATATTCGAGTTTCGAATGCGAATACGTATACGCCACGTATACGTGCTGAAAAGCGTTAAACTTCTGCGCGCAAAACTTTAAATGAGGGAAGCGGAGGAGTTAAGCCAAAAGGCAGCCAAGTGCTGCATGCGACATCCAAAGTTCGTGGAGGCGGAAAATCCATTTATCATATGGCTGCTGTCTGTTTGTGAGTGTTTTTTTTTTCTCGTCATTTTCCCTTTTGCCAACTGGAAAGCAACGAAAGACACTTGATGTGCAATATTTACATGACAAAAACTAGCGGCAGGTGAAAGAAATATATGATGACTCCACTGTTGGCTTTTCGATGGCATCGGATGCCGCGAACGGCGGCATATTCAAATTACGTGCGATTCGAGAGTCTATGAATATGCCCACGGTAAGGATAGATAGATGTTTTGCCAGTAAATGTGTATGCTTTCGCTCTGTTTGCCCCGAATACCGCTGACGATAATGATGCTGCAGATGATGATGCCGATGCTGTGATCATTTGTGCTCTTTACGTGCTCATGTGTGCGTGAAAATCAACCAAGATACGGGGACAATGACACGGATTTAGCGGGCTGAAGGGACCCTCGGGACAACACGCAAGTATGAATATTTATGCCGGCGCCTGTTTTCGTTTCTGGCCATCAGTTCTAAGATGAGGCAGCCAATTGAATGATTTGCGGCAAGTTGGGCCATAAATTAACCAAGTTAAGCGTCTGCTTTATCTGCAATAAGCAATGCTTAAATTCTTATGATATATTCTATGGGATTATAATTAAATAGGAATATTAATTTAAAATATGAATTTTAAGTCAAATAAACTAAAAATGATTAACATTTTATGATTAACGACCAGCTTTAAAATGAATACAAAAAGTTGTTACAAAAGCATTAAAATGAAACAAGCTCTTAATTAATCTTAATCATTAAGCACGGATTAAAGCAGTAATTTCCAATATTATCAGTTCCAGTTTTCAATTAGTATAGCCAAGTTGTCCATATTTATAAAACATGCAGCTGTCATTATCAAAAAACCATTTTTCCACCTGGAATTCGCTTCAAACACATAAATCACCACAGAATGCAGCTGTCATGCCGACCATGTCGGACCTCTTAACGCATTCAACTCCCGTCCTGTCTCGTGTCCCGTTCTGATCTGGTTTCGGTTTTGGCCAGAAACCATGTCAAGCTGGCCGAAGTTCCGCCGCAAGCCACACCAACATCTATCCAGAACATGCAACAAATTCCGCAATAAAATCGCAAAAATCATTTAAAATACATTCGCATACATTCGGATTCGCGCAGCAAACGCCTGTCACTGCGGCGCCCCGAACAAACAGACGCAAATTGTCCTCCTTTTTCCCATGATATGTTGCCATCATGTCACCAAATATTGAAATCGAAAGCCAAACGATTCGGTTTCTGGTGACGTTTGGTGCCCATTTGTTTGCTTCGATTTCGACAATTTATTTTTGTATAAAATTGTTATGTAAACGCAGATTAAAAGAGCAACAAAACAGCAACGATGTGAAAAAGAAGACTATATTAAACTAGATGAACAAACACGCAGTGCGGTATCTTAATTTAGTTTGAAATTTTACAAGTCTAATGCTACCTTAGCTGGGGAAAATTTCAAATTAATACTTACATCTTGTGTTCATTAAGGCCCCAAATTTATAGATTATTTTACAACACTCTCAAAGCGATTACCAGATGACAAGTATTTGAATTTGTTTAGGAAACTGAAATACTTTACAAACGACTTCCATTAGCGTTTGTGCCCTAAATCAAGTTAGGGTAGCCATCAAAACAGACAAACCTGAACATTCAATTCATCTCTCAGTAGTTGATCAACTTTCAGACAGATCAGATCACCCGGAGGCGCCTTATCACAACGAATTCCGAATGAATCGTAAGATTCTTATCAGTGCTGTCACCTGTCTTCTGGTAGCTCTCCCCAAGCCTCGGAGCCACAATGCCACCTTGAATCTGCCAGAGGAGCGGGGTGATAAGTTCCTGTACTTCGGATTCGGCAGCAATATGCTGGCCAAGAGGATCCACATCCAGAACCCAACGGCCGTGAGAGTTGGTCCCGCCCAGCTGACCGACTATCGTCTGGACTTTGCCTTCGAATCAGCTCGATGGGGAGGTGCAGTGGCCACCATTGTGCCCACCCCTGCGGATCATGTGTGGGGCACTCTCTGGGAGATTGATCTCAGCAACCTGCCGGACATAGACAAGTGAGTAAAAGTTTTTCGAAATGCTAGTCTAATATCCACTTTTCTAGTCAGGAAGGCGTTCATCAGGGCATCTATGAAGCTCGCACTGTGTACGTGAGACTCCGCGGTGACAAAGTAGAGACACCTGCCCGTGCTTATCTACTGACCAAGCAGCCGGAGAATAATCTTTGGGTTCTGTCGAAGAAATCTGTTCCCCTTTCCCGTCAGCCCTCGAAAACATATCTCCAATGCCTGGTGAAAGGCGCAATCGAGAGCAACGTTCCGGAGGATTATGTCGGGCGCTTGAGAAGCATCAAGCACAATGATCACGTAGCCGCAGATCTGGAGGAGAAATTGAATCTAGGAATTGTTGCACTCTAAATTCGTTTAATGTTTTCAAAATCAATAAAAAGATTTGTATATTTTTCCTAAGAATCTTGATCTCGGTGAGAGGAAGAGCCGTGAAATTCAAAACAAGAAAAGAGATTTACATCCCAATTTTCGTTTTATTTAAAAGTCCAAATGGAATTCGGAATACAAAGTAAGTAAAATGTGAGTAATTGCTAAATATTCATGCTCTCCAAACAAATTGTTAGTTAAATAACGTGTATTTTTTTTGTTCCCAGTAGGAAAGAACCCTAATAGTTACTTCAGTTTTTATATTTTAAGTTTTAACTTAGCGAAAAATACGCATGCGGTTGGAGTCCTGGCTAATAGAAGTGGATTATAAACTTGGGAAAACTGTTCCCAGACATTCAACCAATTTTAACATTTCTGTTAAAAATCAACATATTGGAAATTTTGATAAGAAATAGAGCCAACGGCGGAAAAAATATAAAGCAAGAGACAAAAGCTTTTACAAGTTGCCTTTGCCAAATGTTACTGCGAGGGAGCTTCGACAAGAGCTTATTGTTGCGAGCACTTTTATATCGCGTGGGCAGTGCGGGAGATAGCAGTTTCCCAACGTCATCTACCGGTTGGCGTTGGACTTTAGTCCGTGAAACGTGTAGTTTACTGTTTAGTTTGAAGTGTTGTCGTCGTGTTCAATACCTGTTTAAAATCCAAAAGTGAAGTACACAGAATTTAGTTTTAATAATGAAAAATTAACAACATAACGCAAATAGATTTAGTTTATCAACAGATGTTTACGCAGTGGAACAGCTGACTTGATTTATGATATAAAAGCTAAATCGCGGAGAGCTTTTCGAACAGCTGGGCTTTTGACCTTGTCCGACAAAGTGAAAACAAAAAATTAAAATAAAACTAATTTTGGAAAGTTTTTGAACTTTAATATTGCTGAGTAGTTCTTTTGCAATATATATTGGTTTTGAAAAATACGAATTTAAGTACCATTATCCAAGACTTACACCATAGTGTACACTGCTTGCCCATAATGAAATACACAGATAAAGCAGTTCCCAGTTTTAGAACAATTGTTTTTAAGGACTCCCAGTATTCACAAAACTTTAGTGGATAATCGGTTCATTAAAAAATTCAAGTTACCTAATACTCGGGAGTTTACTGTATTTTATATATTTGCTTTATAAGCACCAGATTAGATACAATGTGTACTTAATTTCATATCTTATTTTGTGATAAATAGAATAATGTAAAAGCTTTAATAGTTCCGAAAGAATTTAATGTGGAGGATCTTAAAAAACTATAAGCATTTTGAATACCTGTTCACTGTTTGCAGTTTTTTATAAATTAACCCAATTTGAAAACATATACTTTGTTTTTAGATCCAACTTCCTTAAAAATATGGCCACTAAATTCTTTTATTTCGGTTTCGGGAGCAATATGCTGGCCAGTCGCATTCACATACAAAATCCCACTGCCAAAAGGATTGGAGCCGGCAAATTGGAGGTAAGCCTATAATGTTTTTAGGTAACCAATAAGTCTAGAAACTTATAAGAAAACTCAGATTTAATGAAATTATTAACTAAATCATTAAATTGCTTGTCCGTTAGAACTTCCGCCTGGACTTTCATACTGGATCGAAAAACTGGCTGGGAGCTCCTGCCACGATTGTACCCACGACAGGATCTTATGTCTACGGAGCCATTTGGGAGATTGATATGTGCAATCTCAAGGACTTAGATGAGTATGTCTTACTCCAAATTTCTTGAAATAAACTATCTTGAAATATAACTATGCAATTATTTTTTCAGTCAGGAAAGTGTGCCCGATGGCGTTTATATTCCAATAAGCATTCCCGTTCACTCGTTGACAACCGATACCACCATCACCTGCCGTGCCTATCACCTAACTAATCAGCCTAAATCCGAGCTCCATGCAGGTGGGGTCCACGATAATATACCCTTTGATCGTCAGCCCTCGCAAACGTACCTTAAAGTATTGGTTAAAGGAGCCAAGGAATCCGGAATTCCGGAGGATTACATCAAATGGCTGAGGGGCATCAAGCATAATGGTGTCCAAGTACCGGCTATGGAGGCCAAACTTAAACTAGACCAAGTGCAACTGTGTTGAACAGAAGCACATTTTAAATAATATTTATATAAAAATCATTAAAGTACAAATCTATGTTTTGGCAAATTTCGGTTTGGATATACCACAAATAATTCAAATTTCACGATAGTCCCTAAATTATCGCTGACCACGGCTCCACCATCGTACTGATCGATAGTGCCATCGCCATTTTTACAACTCTAGAACAGTCTCTCAAAGAAAAGGAAGCCGGAAACATACGTGGGGCAGAACAGGAGGCCGGATGTCTTGAGACTCAATTGGACTAGAAAGCGAAGAAATGTGACTTCTTCCTTTTCGAAGCAATTCGAAGGCTCTTCGCCAAGAAAGGGAACGTCTTCAAAAAGGAGGGAGTCAAATTTCTTCGCATTTTTGTCCAATTGGGGTTCTTCTTTTGATGATTTTTGGCCTTTTGGGAGACATCAAGAAGCCAAGAAGCTGGTCAGCCAAGCAAAGGAGGAGCAGGTGCCAGGAGATAAGGCCAAAGATTTCCTCTCTTGAGCCTTTTTCAGCTCCTAGGTAAAAGTGGTTACGACTCCTGGCGTTTAGGATCACCAATGCTCAGGCGTGGACGCAACTAACATCATGGCTGCTATGGATGTCCAAATCGCCCCCGCTTTGAACCTCTTCTTGTTGTCATGGAGCCCAGATCCTATTAGAGGCCATGGTAAGATCACGACCAGAGGTGAATAGACTTGTCGTGTGCCATAGACAATGCCTATAACTATAGTAGAGATTTGAGATTCTTTCCTGACAATGGATGCGGACTGGCCCCACGAGTATACTTTATGGTCGAATGGCGCGGCGACGTGCCCGACTCCCATAGTAGGTTTACTCAGGGAGTCGAACACGTGGCAGTTTCATATTCATAGCCGGGAAAGAAGAAGAGCTGTGACTAAAACAAGTTAACTGGCCACTTTTAAATTTAGCTTTAGCTTTAACCTAGCTCTTTCCAGTTCCGGCTGAAGTTCCTCGGAGAATAGGATGAAAACGAATTCGGGCAAGAGCAGGAATCGATTTCGAGTTCAAATAGCAATGTCCGGAGGACCACAGTTACACAGAAGCATACCACTTCTATATAGTCGAGATCGTTTATCTTCTGGATCACACTACCAAAAGGAAATCTTGGCTCGAAAGACTATGAGGTCGACTCGGAGGACATAGTATATATCTGTACTCCTATCTAGGAACGAAGTCAAAATCTCGCCGCAGTAATAGACATTGGCTATGGCCCACGGCTGAAATATATACAACTGTCTTGATTCTGCCAAGGCCCCTGATAAGACCTCCGATAATAATCAACGGGATGAAGTTTAAACTCGGGGCGTTTTGTACCTTCATGTCAGCCATAATGTAAAGGCCCATTATCCGGATTATGTCCATGCCTGGGTAAAATTTTGTATAAAAAAAATAGTCCTCAGCGCCATAAGCCCAAACCATCAAATTTAATAACTCGACATCTTTGTTTCTTAAGGTCTCCAAAAAGGTCAGGCAGAAGAGGAAGAACGTTTAAAAATCCCAGTGGACCTGCAGTACCACATCCATCACATAATACGCAAAGCAGCCGAATGTTAGAAGCAACAGGGCATAAAAAAATAAAAAATAAAAAATGATAAAAAGAAGCATGGAACATGGACACGGACATGCGATTACAGCCAACTTTCAGATGAAATATAATATGAACTATTTCTTATTAATAAAAAAAACGGCCAAGCAAAGTATTTTATTTCTTGAATAAGTTGAAAAGCGGCTAGAAATATGTAGGATATATTATTATTTATTTTTATCAAGAGTTCACAATTTTCAAGCTAATAGGAGTATCGTACCAGATGAAGCTACAAAATGTTAGTTTATGCGGTATATAATTTTACTGGAACCATCTGTTTCTTAGACCTTCGATGACCTCATTGCACATTTATGCTTTTAACCTATTAGTCGGTTTTTAAATGAACTTCAATATCTTAACTTCCCTATAGTCAGGAGGCGGATACCAAAAATAATTCACAGTAGCACGATAGTCTCTATGTTATCGATGGTGCTTATCAGGGCCCCACCATCAAACGAATCGATAGTGCCATCGCCATTTTTACAGTTCTAGTTCAAAGCAAAGAAAACCGGAAACCTCATTGGGGGCAGAAACTTGAATGTCAACCCTAATTAGACAACAAAGCGAAGAATATTCGGCATACATACCTGTATTCGTGTCAAGAAGCAAAATTTCGCCACAGCAATAGAGTAGGCATTGACTAAGGACCACGGTCAGACTATCTAAAACTGCCTGAAGTCTGCCAAGACCCCTGATAAGACATCCGATTGAAATCAATAGGATGACGTTTTAACTCGCGGGGGCCTTAAAGTATTACTAAAAGGAGCCAAGGAATCTGGAATTATGGTGGATTACATAAATTGCTGAGGGGCATCAAGCATAAAGGTGTCCAAGTAGCAGCTATGGTTGCTTAAAAAGACACATTATGTAGTAGTAATATGAAAATTATTAAAGTACAAATAATGTTTGGTTTGGTGATTTTTATCCTAAAAGCAATTAAAAACATATACGAAAGAGGAGCATCGTATGTATAATTTTAATTATAAAAATCTGTATAAATAGTAATAAAAATATGTTAAGTTTGTGGTCTGCTGAAGTCTAAACTTTAAATACTAAACTCTTTAGTGACACTTTGATTACCGCTCTGCAGAAAAATGCTTTTGTCGCAAAACGGAAATTAATTAATTTGAATCACTTATTTATGATGATTACCAATTTCCCGTCTGCACCCCATTCAGACAATGGCCAAAAATTTTGCCTGGCAATGGGAAACAAAAGTTTTGAGTTTTTCTCATCGACTGGCTCTCGCCTAAAGTGCAATTAAAGTGCAATTTACTGAGCACTCTAAGGAGGAGAACGCTGCTGCTGGTGATGATGATGCTCCACGGGACTAACGAAGCTCATCCAGCTGGTCGATCCTGGCTCCTGTCTTATTAATTTAAATTTGAAGTTTTCGGCAACGGGAGGGCATGGGATTGGAGCACTCCTTTCATGAGTCGTTCAAGACTCCTTTGGCTGCTGCACATTTGCATATTGTTCGGGAAAAGCTTTTGGCCACTTGGATTCCAAATTGTGTGTGCCAAAGTAATAATAAACATAATTTCCTGTTTCAGCAAAACTTTCCTTCTATATCTGGCACTAAGAAAAATAATTTGAAAAATATTTCAAGAGCTGAGAACATGTTATTATATATTTTCTTAATATTTAATATTTTTCTTTATTGACAAAGAATTTTTCTTTAAACTTTTTGCTTATTTGAAAAATTTTCCGTTTGGATTGTAGACGTAAAAATTACCCTACAATCAGAGAACTTAACATATGTTTGTTATTTTTATGAATTTAATGTTCCCAAGACTTTTCTTGAGTGCATGTACAAGTATATTTCCCAGTTAGCAGCTAATTCCAGGAGCTCCAGCTGGGAACTGACCCTCTGGCCCAAGTTGTTGTGTAGGTGGCAAATAAAAGTCTGCCCTTCGACTTTAACAAAGTAAAAACTTCGCTCCGAGCCCTTGTTGCGGTTTGTTCACTTTGTGCAGTTGTAAATTAAATTTGCAAACGGTCGGTAGTTTATAATCGTTTGGGAATTGAAATGCAGTCGAGTCGATTTTTGGCCAAAGTCGGAAAACTTCTGCCTCGTTGTCGACGTCTTGGTCAAAGTTTTGGCCCAACATTTTTATTACATTTGTGGCGCCCCCGTCGAGAAGGCAGCTCCTGTTTTCTCTGAGTTTGGGTTTGAGTTTGTGTGCAATGTGCACTTGTACTTCAGTACTCGCTCTCAACTCGGCCATTAATTATTTAAAATGCACGGCGCCATAACCATTTAGATGAGTCTCGCTGGCTGTAACATGTGCCAAAGGCTACACCGACTCCAGGCCGCAATGTAAACGACAACATCAACACAAGGACACCAGGATACCAGAGTTCTAGGAGCAGAAACACAAATAACAACAAACGCATTACGGCTCTTGTAATCATAAAATTTTACGATTTTAAAAAACAAGCACAGTAAATGGCTACTTTTCTACAACGAATTGGATGCATACTTACCATTGCTAAATTAAATACTTTTTTTTTTAAATTTATTTTTCTTTAAATCAATAAGCCTCGCTTTATTTTATTTTTATATTAGATATTTCTTTTTAATTCTTAATTAAGATGCCATTGATGAGGTTAAAGGTAAAAGGGTTAAATGCTTAAATATAAATAATATACAACTAAGAGTAATGTCAAAGTCCCCTCAAATTGTCCAAAGATCAAGGCGCTATAATAACCATAGTACTTTTCCGGTGAAGTGCAATCTGAAATCCGAATGACAAGTGACGAACAGATGCAGAGTAGAGGGCCACAGGACGAGAGAACGTTGAGGTTAGCTGAAACGGTCTCAGCTGTTTGTCCCGCATTTTGTGGGTTTGAGAATTTAATTAAAATCAAGCACTCGATTCCCAACCCCATTGCCACACCTTCAGCCCGTCGTTTAGTTTCAATCAAAGTAGCGACAAACCAACACTCAAAAAAAGGACGAAAATTTTACGCAAATTGACAACAGAAGCGACGACACCGACAACAAGCAGCGGGATCTGGGGATGAGAGGCACAAATGCCATGTCAATAAAAATAAAAACTGTTTCAGGGCGTCCCATCTTGTCAGTTGGTCGTAATTGAAACTCATTAGCGTGCATTTTAGTGGCAATTCTGTAGCTGCGAAAGCCTTTCCCAGTTGCCAACCCTTTTTTTGGGCTTTTCCATAGCTCTTTCACTCCCCCCTTTGAATGGGTGGCTTGCTTCACTCTCAGTTGGATCCGGTGGTGGTTATATGTGGTGCGTGCGGTTTATGTGGTAAGTGTGTCATCATTATGACTGCCATGGGGTTTTGCTCCTTTTTTTGCTGGATACTTTAGTGTGCATGTGAGTGTGTTCAATATGGCTAGCAGGCTTTTTTTTTGGCTGTGGGAAAGTTCAGTGAGTTTGTTAGATGCAGTGGAAAATATTGGGTCTCAAGTTTAACTAGCTTTAGGTTTCTATCT